GGAACCTCCCAATTGGCGACGGCCGGGTAGAAGCTCCCCTATATAAGGGGCTAATTGAACACTTTAAGTTAGTTCATGTACCTATTTGACCCTTTAGCCTATCAAGATTCTGTACATACTTAAATAGTTAAATACTTCATGCTGATTATTATTTATTAGTAAATCGTTATATTAAGTGTCTATATTACTACGTAAATAGCAAGAATGGTAGAACTCAAATATAAACTTCCTATTAAGAATTCTAACGGGATGTCTTCGTGGTTATACTTGTGATGAGATTTTGACCATCTCATGGGCCATGGCTGTCTTCACCCACATTAATATACATTGATTTAGGGTATGTTTGGCACAACTAGCTGAAAAGATACTTTTGTGAGCTTTTTAATAACTGTTAGCTTTTGGTGACTGAAAAGATCTTTAAAGGAAAAGGTGGTAGCTGTATGATAAAAAGCTGATTGTTTGATTTAGTTCGGTTTGGTATACAAGCTGTTAGGGCTAATTAATACTAAAAGTCACGGGCTTTTTTCAGATGCTACTGCCTGTAGCATCTCAAAAAAGATCTTTTATTTTTTTAAAAGCTCTTAAAAGTTGTCATGCCAAACATATAACTAGAAGCTTTTAAAGACTTTTTGAACAGTACAAAAGCTAGAAGTCAGAGACTTATGCCTGCCAAACATAGCCTTAGCTCATGAATTCATGATGAGCTCCTAAAATGAAGAAGGGCTGCACACAGTTCTTATTAAAGGTGTTCCAGCTTTATTATAAATTATAAACAGTAGTTCCGGTTGATTTAATTAAGCCCTCATATATTGCTAACTAATTAATGGTATATGATCTTACAGTTGGTTCAAGGTTGTTGGTTTTATGTGCATATAAGTTTCAACCCTCTCATTGAAGAGTTAGTCTCTAGTCATGGTTCTAATGGACAATCCTGTTATAAGATGCACAAATAAGAGATAAACTTATCTCATCATAACAAGTGTTTTAGAACTAATTGGTTTGGACGAAACCTAGAAAGTAGAAATGGTTACAACTTATAATTTTACTCAGTTTTTTTGCTTTTATATCTACTCTATGAAGCATGTATAAATCTATTCTACTTTTTTTATAATCTTGATTGCCCCCTTAAAAAAATCAGCTTAGGTGATATCTGAAAACCTATAAAACAAGATTTATGTTTTACTTGGATTTTTTGCACTTAGTTATGTTTGATCTAATTAGAATGTTTTTTCTATATGAAGATTGCAGGGTAGAATATCACACTGGTGGCATGTTTGAAGCTTGGAGCTGGCAAAGTTGAGCTTATCTGGATACAATTCTCGGACAAAGTTATGCTAAGAAACACATAACAATTATTTTTAGTTAGACACGGTCTTAGTAGTGTTATTAGTTTTAGATAGGTGTTTTCTCTAATTGTGTTTGACACTGCTTTTACATCCTCATTTTGGGACTTGTGAGCACAATTGGGCCAAGTTTTCTCTTCCTCCATTTTTAGCTCAAGTGTTATACTACGTACCACATTGGGGCTTGAATTTATGTGTAATACAAATATTCATATTTTAAAACGCATTTAACCATATACTACATAGGGGTGGCCCAATTTTGTAAAACATTAATGGGTTAGCCTATATCGGAATTATCTCAAATCAGTAAAGCATATAAACATATTTAAATTTGTATTGGGGTTATGAAGTGTCTTTGATCTTTTGCATATATCCGAATTTACTAAAGGTTAATACAATCAATCTAGAATTTATTGGGTTTTCAAGATTTCTATAAATATGTTTATATGCTTATACATGTCATTTAAATTCCTATATAAATAATTCTTTATATAATTACAGAGTTGTTTATCTATAACATATAGGGTCGTTTGTTTGCATTGTTTTGACAAGGCAACCGGAAATTTCAGGTTTTGGGAGATTGGGACTTTATTTGAATGTGCTCTAGCAGTGCATTGCCGGTGTTAGGAGTGTATTTTTCCAGTTTTCCATCTTATAAACTTTGTAATAGTTTGGGCCACCGAATGTTGCTTTGATTGTTACTTTCTAAAATGTATTTAATTTGATTTGATTTAATATATTATGTAATAAGCGAGTGCTTGCAATACCCTTTTTTTACGACGTGTTTGCAATACCTTTAAAAAGTTAAAATTAATGTTTTGAAGTGATAATTTTTACTTAAAACAGTGTTTCTCGATTTTTGTGTTAAAAGTGATTCTTACTTTTTCTACTACACAAAATACTTATTTTATCAAATACTACCAACTTTTACTTTTTAATTTTTTTTTCTAACACTATCAACTTTTACTACTAATCATTTTTTTTTTCAAAATCACTTCAAAAAGTGCTTTTTTAAGCAAAAGTATTTGCAAACACTCCTTAATTATCCCAATAATTTGATTCTAAAATGTCTTATCCCTTCAACGCAATTTGTTGAAACATTGCTGGGCGAGGGTTTATCCAGATAGCAGGTCCCCGGTCATCGAGTTTTCAGGCGGGTTTGAAGCGGGTCAATGAGTTTGGCCGGGTTTTAGTTAATTTACGAATTAACTTATATTCAGCCGAAATTCTAAGTAGTTGCCGATTTCTAAGTCGAGTTTTGATAGAAAAAAAGATCAAAAAGGTTTGGGATGGAAGGATTCGAACCTCCGAATTCCGGGACCAAAACCCGTTGCCTTACCACTTGGCCACGCCCTAGTCGACCTACTTGGACCGGTTCGAGTCTGATACATAGTGTTTTTATACTCAAATGTAAGTAAGAAATAAATATTTAGATGCTATTGATAGAATAATTAACTATTTATGTCAACTCTTATATTTTGAATAAAAACAACACGGAGTACTAACATGTGTATGCATTAAATTGTCATGGTTGTATAAGTTAAATTAACGAGTTCATGTTTCATTATTGAATTAACTTAATTTTTATTTATTAAAGTTACTTTAAATTTTAAAATAATTTGGGAAGTACATTCAAAGAGTTGAATGATATCCCGTGCGATACTATACTAGTGTTTGTTAATAATGCTATAGTTTTTGAAAGTTTAATGGTTAGCACTCTTAGTTACTCGTATTTAGTTGAAATTGATTTTATGAAAAACTTAAATTTTCCTTTCAAAAAAGTCCATGTAGTCATTCCAGCCTAATAACCGTGACCAAACGCTCTCAAATTCAAAATATAAGTACGTACAATTTAAGGAAGTTTTAATCATAGATGATTTTCACTTTTTATTATCAAAAGCAATTTCAACCCTGGCGACCATCTCCCCTCTTTGTAGGGGTTAAGATTTTCCGCCGCCCCTATCAATATGGGGTTGGAGCGGCAGATTATACTGATTTTAAGTGTTCTAATGCTTGGGATTGCAACTACGGGAGGATATAGCGTTGCCCGATGAACGAGGTGCGACTGGGAGGTTGTATCGACTATCGAGGCTGGATCGTGAAGTCTTGGTCGACCATTTTGTAAGAGCGTTGGCACCCATATTGTAAGAGTTCGTCCTCCTCCGGAACCACATCCATACTAGGGAGAGCTTTGTGGAAAGATTTTATTTCAGCATTAGTTTCTCTTTAGTAGCAATTGTTTCTGTTTTAGTTCAAGCAGGTTTGATTTGAATGTTTGGATTTTCGGAGTTCTTTTGATAGGTAGGGTTTCAGTTCCGATCGTTTTAGGCCTACATTTGCCCGTTTCAGGTTTACCGAGTCATGTTGCTTTGTATGAGATGACAGACTCTAAGTCTACTCCTAGGACGATCGGATCTGTAAATACTGTCAGAATGTTATCTTGTATGTGTTCTCGATTTTAATATAACGACAGCTAAAAAAACTAAATGTGACCTATCTTTAGGCTATATAGCCATTTATCCCTTTAATTTATTATGTAGTATTTTTTTATAAAATTCAAAATACAAGTGAAAAGGTTATACTACGTGGCTTTTATAAAAATGTAAATTTTCGAAATAGATGTAAAATATTTGGGAATTTCAAAATAAAACTATTATATTTTTTCATAAACTAGAGCACAACCTTATCATCCTAAAAATTTACTGTTATATTTTTGGCGTTATTGTGCAAACATGATAGTATACTGTCAAATGACTATCATCAGTAATAGTACGTAGTAGTATTTTTCAAATAATTACTTCTATTTTAGAGCATCTCCAGTGTCTACTAATTGCTATTATGACTTCACTAGTCACATAAACATTTAAAGCAAAATTATTTTCGCATTAAATGTACTTCAACGTTAGCTATAATTTCTTCATCTTAATTTATTATTGATAATGTTATACCTAGTATTTAATAACTCTTTTTCCTCAAGTTAACAACTTATTTTGGCTAATTAACTTTCTAAAGAAAAAAGAAGAATAATACTATAATGATAAGTTTATATCATTTGTAATGGAGCCAAAAACTCACTATTTTTTGGCTTGGGAATATAATGAAATAAAGCTAATGACTTACTAAACTATCTGCACTTCTTTGTTATGAAGCATCAGTCAGTCCATGCAATTCTCGACGCGATTTCACTACGGGTCATTCAGAAACAGTCTCTTTGTACTTTAGTACAAGGGTAAGACTGCGTACATCCGACTCCCCTTACCCTACCGAAGGTGGGAGCCTTTGTGACACTGGCGTAATGATGATGAATACCATAATGATAAGTTATTAGTTTTGAAATTGAACAAGTCATCCACATCAATTGTTGGAGATAGCTTTTGAGAATAATAACATACTACCTCCGTAACGTAAAGATTTTCCAACATTCCATTTTCAATCGTAACTAAATAATCTTCTCATTTCCAAATCTCCATCATACCCTCAATAATTTTAAAAACTATACATTATTACACATACTTTTTATTTTGATTTATCCTTCAATACATCACACTATTTCATTATCTTCCCATCATATTCTCAATGATTTTTATCTGTTTTGAGTATTCATGATCTCATTCACTTCAAAAAGAGCAATTGCTTGAGACTACACAAAAAACAAGGTGAAGGTAAGCGGGTCACGTCCATCCTCATTCCTCAGTCCTCACCCGGGCGAACAATTTTTCTCTCTAGTTTGACACTTTATGGCTTCTAGATTGGCTCCCGGGGCGGGCCACTGGTATCGATCAAACACGTGCTCTCCTTCACTCCCATTTCCGACACCCATGCAAATGCAATTTTACCTCTCCCCTTTTGCATGTCTCTCCTCTTCACCTCAAGAGCTAAGTCAATCCAAATTCAACCTCCATTTTCCTCTGAAACCCCCTTTTCCAAGAAATGCTCATCTCCAAGGACCTAAATTACCCAAAAAGGTACTGTTCTGCTTCCTCTTGGCACCATTAATTAGGGAATAGCATTTCCATCTTTGTTCTTCCCCCCCCCCCCCCCCCCCCCCGTTTTCCCCGTTTTTGCATATTTTAAAAGAATCTTGAATAAAAATTGGGTCTTTTCCGTTTCAAATTTGGCAGCTATCTGAAGTTGCTGCTCTGATTTTCTTGAAACAGTAGGAATGTAAGATGCAATAGCCTAGATGGTCAAAACGAGGAATATACATCCATGGGTAAATGCTTTCCTCATTATGTCTTTCACAGGAGGTGAGGAATGAAATATTTTATACAATTTCCATTCCTGGGGAACCCTGTAATTGATATACAATTGTTTCGCATAGCCGGGAAATGCTGCACAAATCTTCCCTCACATACCAGGAGTACATTTCCCATTGGGGTTGCCCTTCTCTTATGTTGTTGCCATAGAATATACAAGGGAATTACAAATGCCCAGCAGAGAGGGAGGTTCTTGAGTGATACAAATAAAGGCTTCAAATTATTGAGCTGATTTTTATAGGCAAGCGAGACCGCAAAGGTCTAGTTGACTTCTTACAGGGAGGAAACTTGGAAAGAAAATGAGCAGTGAACCGTCTGGTGTTATATCTGAAAACATTAATGTTGGTGCCCGGGGTGATATAAACAATAGGGATGAACGTGTAAGTAGTATATCTCTAGAGACCGGTGAAGTATTTTCCGCAGAGTTCACGCCACGAAAAGTACCCACCATGAAGGATTCACAAAACAATCGGGGTGGCTTTACCATTCCTCAAAATGATGTGGTCTATGAGGACCTTAACGGTCTACTAGGTATACAAAGAAGAGGTTTCGAAAGTATAGCAAGAAATCATAGAGCTTATATGGATGGAAATAGAGCTACATGGGGACCAGCAGAAAACTCCCCACACTCATGCCACCCTTACAACGATGGTCAAGAAGGGCCATACAAACCTTTTTCTAAAAAACTGAAATTCCTATGCAGTTTCGGAGGAAGAATTTCTCGAGGACCGAACAATGGTAGGCTTAGGTATGTTGGTGGTGAGACTAGAATAATATCAATTAGGAAGAACTTAACTTATGATGAACTAGTGAAAAAGACTAGAGCCATTTATGATCACCCTCACACCATAAAGTACCAACTCACTGGTGAAGATCTTGATGCACTTATATCTGTGACATCTGATGAGGATCTCCATAACATGATAGAGGAATTCCAGGACTCGGGAAAGATTTCACAATTTCTCCGTCTTTTTCTTGTGCATTCATCTGAGGAGGAAACTCTTTGTTCTTTTGAACCATTGACCTTACAACCAAGCCAGTTTCGGAGCACTTTAGACTATAGTCCGAGCTATCAAAGAGATTCCTTTGCTTCATTTCATCCATTCAACGTAATAGTCCCAAAAAATCCTACTGCTCACCAGTTTAATACATATCAGTCTCCTCCATTGTCTCCACTAGCAGGTCATCAGTTAAAAGATTTCAAACGCTGCCCTGATTTGGCATTTACCAATATTCAATGTGATGAAGGTAATGATTCATATAGTCCGTATCCTGTGGACCAATGCTATTGCTGTAGTAATCCGTTAAGTTGTTACCGAAAAAAGGACTGTAATTTAGTGGAACTGCACAAGGCTTGTGAGTCAATCCCTCAAAATCTTGTACTTCAACATTGTATTGCATCCAAACTGCTCCTGAGACCAGGTTTGCATACTAAATCTGGTTGCGGAATGCATCATGCTATTTCTGATCCACAACTGCACTGTGAACAGAGATATAATGTCCCTTCAAATTTTAATATAGAGAAATGCCCTTCACTCGAAATGATTAGCTCTTCGAAAAAATTGTCAATGCAAGGGAAAGAATTGAGAGATGACAAACAGTTCGAGCAGCAAAATCTTAAAGAACCAGAATTTGTGAAACAGTTAAAGCAGAAGAATCTTTACTCAGCTCAGGAAAAATCTTATTTTGGGACTAAGGAAACATGTACTCAAAAAGCTTATGGTGGCAGTAACTCTTCTAAACCCTTTGTCTCTCCCAGTAATAATAATGCAGCAACCATTTGTATAGAGCACTGCAATGATCCTAATGCTTGTTGGGGAACAACTTCAAAGCCTGAAGTCAGTGAAAACAGAAACTTTTCTATAGGATTGATGAAACACTCCACAAACAACTGCCGGGATGAGTGTTTTGGTTTATCAGATAGATCTGGCTTCAATATAGAGGTGAATGATCCCCTTGTTCCTGACATATCATTACAAAATTCAGCTGCTGCTTTTGCACAAGATTTTACAGTCAATCAGGGCATGTCCAATGGTAAACATACACAGCAAAGGTCAGAGGGTTTATCAAACCAAAAGCATGACACATTGTTCGAGTTCCAACTCTCGGATAATTCTAATCGCTTTAGAGTCCCTGATGGACCATCGTCTGCAAATTCCTTCCCACATGAGCAAGATGAACCTGACTATAAGGTACTCTGGCTTCTTCCATGTGATGCTCCATTCTATTGAGAAGGAGAAAATTTCAAACAATAATCCCGACAATAAATTTTCATGTAAAATTGGCATTTTTTTTTTATTTTTAGGACAAAAAAGCAGATGGTGATGCAGAGGGTTTATCTATCAATGATGCTGCAAATATTGAAACAGAGGCGGGGATCTGTGGCTTTCAGGTCAATATTACTGTTTATTTCCACTTCCCATTTTAAGTTAAAGGATTTACTGTAGTATTTGCATGTCCCAAAGTTTAGATGTCCTTTACATTTTGGAACAAGACTTGCATTTCATCTTTTAAGGAATGGCATCAGCCCTAAACTGAATGTTTTCAGCTTCTTTGCGCAGATTATAAGAAATAGTGATCTTGAAGAGCTACGGGAGTTGGGATCTGGTACATTTGGGACTGTACATCATGGAAAATGGAGGGGAACAGATGTTGCTATCAAGATGATAAAAAAGAGCTGTTTTGCTGGCCGATTATCTGAGCAAGAACGGTTGGTAGGTGCCCCCCACCTCAGACCCATAAATTGGAGTTAAAATACAGCTCAGTTTTAGTAGGCCCCAAAGCTCATTTGGGGAATGTTACTATAAGGAAACAAGATAAATTCTCTGAAAATACTGTGATCGAGATAGGATAAGAAGATATTGATTGTAGACACTAAGAAAATGTGTATCGAGTCTTTGCAATTTTAGTACATTTGTTATAGATCCCCTCCATTTTTCATTTCTATTTTTCATCCCTCGATATATGCTATCATCCTTTTCATCCTTCCCCAACTTTGAGGCAGTTGTAATGATTACTTTTGGCCGGGAGCCTGGGACATAATACCAAAAGCACTATATTTATAGGGACTAAAAACATATTGAAGCCTTATTGGTACAATGAATATATATATGTGTGTGTATGACATATTTCACTATTTTGCAGACCAATGATTTCTGGAGGGAGGCTAAGATTCTTTCAGACCTCCGCCACCCAAATGTAGTAGCATTCTATGGCGTGGTTCCTGATGGACCAGAAGGAACAATGGCTACAGTTACAGAATACATGGCTAATGGGTCACTGAGGCATGTACTTCGAAGGAAGGACAGGTGAGGTCGTGTTACCAATTTACCATTGTTGTTACTGCTTCTATTATCCACCATCAGCATCACCTTAATCTGAACAACATTGGGTTCAATTGCATCATACTTATAATATCAATGAATTGTCAAAAACCAGTTAAAACTTAAAAGAACATAAATAGGTTTTTCAACACCTGATGATTGTTGATGACTAATAGAGATTTTTGCTATAGTCATGTCTTAATACATGATTGATCCTCATCATTACCCCAGTGCCGCAAAGGCTCCCATCTACGACGGGGCTAGGGGGGGTTAGATGTACGCAATCTTACTCTTGTACTAAAGCACCGAGAGACTGTTTCCGGATGACCCATAGTGAAATTCGCGTCGAAAATTGCGACTACTGCTTCATAATAAAGCAGCACAGACAGTTTAGTGAGCCATTTTTCTTTATTCCATCATACTCCCAAGTCAAAAAATAGTGAGTCTTTGGCTCCATTACAAATGATGGAAAATCTCAATACATGATTGATATTATAAAATAATCAAGCAAATCGTGGAACATTACCATGATATTATAAATAGTGAACCATTACCACATATAAAAGAATCAGGCAAATAGTGAACCACTCATATTACCACACTTTCTGAAACTATTAAATTAAACCTAACATGATATTATAAAATAAACAAGCAAATCATGGAACATTACCATTATTAATGTAATTTTTTGCTATCATCTTTTAGCTTATAGTGAGTATCATGTTACCACACTTTTTGAAACTATTAAATTAGGCCTAACTCACCCAAAAAGGATCCTATTGATTGTCTCACCGTTATATTAGCTATAGTTTAAGTAAGCATCCTATGTCACGGGTTGGGCAATTTCAGAGGTGGATAAATGAGTTAAACATACAAATAAACAAACCTCTATCTGCAGACTGAACTCTCATACCATACTAAGTTGGGTTTATTTCAGACTTATCTATACTAGCAAGCATCCAATGTGGAACACTAAACAGAAACATGTTACATTTGGGAATATATGCCTCTTTTTTGCAGAACTCTTGACAGACGAAAAAAACTTATGATTGCATTAGATGCTGCATTTGGTATGGAATACTTGCATTTGAAAAATATTGTTCATTTTGATTTGAAGTGCGAGAACTTGCTTGTCAATCTGGGAGATCCACAACGACCTATTTGCAAGGTAAATCTGCGCATACAGTTGAGTTTCAACCAAACGCCATGCATGCACACACATACACAAATGTGCTTGTTCTTATATATCATAATAACCAGTCCTTTTTTCCGTGAATTTTCATTTCTTCTACTTTTTATTTTAACATAATTAATGAACACTTAATGTTTCAGGTTGGTGATTTTGGATTGTCAAGAATAAAACAGAATACTCTTGTTTCGGGTGGTGTTCGAGGAACACTTCCATGGATGGCACCCGAGTTATTAAATGGGAGTAGCAGTCGGGTTTCAGAAAAAGTGATGCATCTCATATTCGATTTTTTTAGCTTTAGATAGTATCAAGTTATATTTCACCTAAAAGTGAACCAATGAAGTTCTTTTTTTATTCCAGGTTGATGTTTTCTCATTTGGCATTACAATGTGGGAGATCTTGACAGGAGAGGAGCCTTTTGCAAGCATGCACTGTGGCACAATCATAGGTATGTTTTTTCATCGTCTCCTTAACATGTTGTGAATAGTGCTAAGCATCTGACTGGGTAGATGAGAAGTAAAACTGGAATTAGGCGGGCCTAAGAAAGGAAAGAACTCAGAATCTGTTTAAGCTGGAAGACTGTTACACATTAGAGTTCCACATCACCTCAGGTTATAAAAAGATTGTATTGAATCTTTTCATGTGGTTTTTCCAAGTGTTTTATGACCCAGATAAGTGACCATAACACAATTTTGAAGTTTATCTTAGACCAGGTTTGTCCCACTTTGTTGAGAAAACTTAACATAGAATGATGAGTTGATTAAATTTTGGGATGAACTAGCTGAGTGACAAAACTCAACCCCTTGGGTCGTTTAGCTAAGAACATGACTCCAATCTTTTAGAGTGGTTTTTTGTCCAAGGGTCTTGTGGCCTTGCTGAGTGAACCCTACTTGAATTATAAAGTCTTTGGAAGGTGTATTCTATTTTTTTGTTTTTGTTTGTTTTTTCTATAAAAATTGAAGTATTAACCTAATTAACTGTTGTTCTTTGGTCCATCTTGTGTGCAAGGTGGCATTGTAAATAACACTCTTAGGCCTCCAATTCCTCAACGGTGTGATTCTGCATGGCGAAAGTTGATGGAAGATTGTTGGGAATTCGATCCAGCGGCAAGGCCATCATTTACAGAGATAACAAACCGATTGCGTGCAATGTCTGCTGCTTTCCAACCAAAGACGAGGGTGAGGAGATGAGATCATGTACATAAATGCAAGTCTTATGAACAAAGTTGAAAAGAAATCGTTTGCACAGCTACACACTACTAATATGCAAAATACATAAATGCAAATATTGTTGTAAATGATTTAACCTATGTACGTTAAAGATATAAATGAGACACCTTATTGCTTTTGTCTATACATGGGCATTATGTTAGTGCACTCTTAACCAATTGTGGAGAACAAGAAGGTCCAAATAATGTCCATTTCCTCATTGTGTAATGTGACCAAATATACAGATGAGTAACACTAGTAATGAAATACTTAAATCCAGATGTGTATCAATCTATCAAGGGGATTGATACACAAGGGAACAGATCTCACTAATGAGTAATGACACCAAATTATCCCAACTCTCTAGCCAAGTCTTTCAAAGCCTATGATTATTCTGAGTGTCTTGCTTCCAGAGTTCCAGCTGCAATTATGTGCATATACGTATACATTTCAACGCTATGAGAGTTCTATTCAGTTAGAGTATGTCTAAAGTGATGTTAGAAATGTACATTATAGAATAAATTAAATGTATGTGACGACCACTTTGTCGTAATGCGTCAAAATAAAATCGATACTAACACTTATACGTAGTATAGGTGAAGTAGAGTTCGTATCCACAGGGAAAAGAATAATTCTCTTTTTAATAAAACTAGTAAATAAAATGGGTTTTTTAGGATTGAGTGATTTAATTTAATTAAACACGAAGATGAACGACTTATATGTGATTTAATTCAAGAATAAGAGAACTTGGTCTTGCTACTTTCCACTTGTTGATATATTTAGTCGATTATTGTTATGTCTATAACTTATCCCCTCTCGAATACTCAATCAATGAGTATATCCAATTCATCGAGGGTAGTTATTAAAAACGACAGTTCATTAATAACTCTTACTATTAGTCAAGTATAGAACACCGCATATACCGACTTGATAGTAGCATTTAATCTCTTAACTTCTTGATGAAATCAATTGAGATTGATAACCTCAACACAACGGTTTCGGTTTAACCAACAAAATTAATCACTCTTAAGTTTATTAACCACGACCGTGCATTAATAAACCGAAGTTACTTGTGAAACCATCAACGATTAACCATCGGTTCGTTGATGGTTTCTAGTAGTAATTAATGTCAAGATGTTAACTAATTGTCATCTTAGCAACACTCCCCAACATTGATATAGAGATAGATTAAGAGAAGAATTAATATTCAAGGGAAGAAGTTAAAAAAATAACTCACAACTTTAATAATCAACAAGCTTCAAGAGCAACACCAAGAAATGGAAGTTTAGCTCCTCATTTGGAGACTAAACATGCTAGAAAAATATAAAGAAATGCTATTCTAAACTGAGCTTAAGAGAGTATGTGAATTGGTGATCAAATGGGAAGGAAAAAGGGTGTATTTATAGGTGTTTGGAGCTGCAAGGGCCATTTAACCGACCGGGTTTTTGAGAAACCCGATCGGGTTTCTTGAGTAAGTGCCCGGAACCTTCATCCGTCACATTATACCCGACCGGGTTTTTGATTTACCCGATCGGGTAAAAGACAAATCTTTGCCAAATCTTTGCCTGCACGTTAAATTGCCTCCAAATCAGATTTGATTTTCGGATCAACTCAATACCCGATCGGGTAAATGGTTTACCCGACCGGGTAAATGACTATTTCTCCAAAATTTCACTTGATCTTGTTCCCTTGTCCTTTCCTTCACCTTTCCGAGGATCCTTTTGATGATCTTTACTTAGTTAAAGCTCAGAATAATCCTAATCTAAACAAATTACAAACAAAATAGGAAAACTAAAGTATTACACCAAAAATGTGTAATTTCTCAAACAACAACAAATAAAACTAGTTAAAATTACACACATAAACAAACATAATTCTATACTATCAGTATGACATATATATGAAAATTTCCATATAATTCTCAATTTTAATGTGCAAAATTTTCACGTTAAATAATATCTCTCGATTTAGCTCATATAGTCTAAGGGCACTCGACTATAGAATTACCACTATTCTACTTGTATGTAACGATTCCACACCGGTCAAGTATGGGCTTGACCAGTGACTTTTAAGCAAGGTGTCCCCTCCTCCTAATCCACTGATCTTTTGGGGGTGAGTTCTACATATGAGCTTTGATAGATCACTGATAATCCGATCCGAACTCTACAATTTGAAAGTAATACAATATTATTGGGAAGAACAATTCATAAAACTTTATTCTCAAACTGAACAGATCACATGGATACAGTGCTCAAAGGCTTATTCGAGATGCCCAATCTCCAAAGTCCATTCTGAACAGAAAATATAGCCTACCCCTATGCCAGCCAATGGCCTTCTATTTATAGTAATATTTCCACGCAGGAATAAAAGAGCGAAACAAATTAGTTAGCTAATTACTAACTAGCCTTCCCTTCCTCTTATACACTTTATTAAAATATTTAATAGGTTGCTGAGCTGTCTGTCTATCAATACCCCCCTTGGAAATTCACCTTGTCCCCAAGGTGAAAAGCTGGGAAGAGTTCCTTCATTACTTGCCTTCCCTTCATTATTTGCCTCCTTCGTCCTGATTTGATGATAGCCACATTTGAGATCCAACTTAGTAAATATAGTGGCCCTTCCTATCTCATCCAACAACTCTTCTATAATAGGTATGGGGAATTTATCTGGAATAATCATCTGATTTAGAGCTCTATAATCTCCACAAAACTTCCACCCCCATCCTTCTTTTCGGCTAACAAGATAGGACTAATGTAGGGACTATTGTTGTGCTGTATAATCCCACACTGGAGCATTTCTTTGATAATCTTTTCTATCTCATTCTTTTGATACTGTGGATATCTGTATGGACTTATGTTAGGTATCTCAGCTCCTTCTTTTATGTTGATAGCATGGTCACAGGTTCTGTGGGGAGGTAGCCCTTGTATGGGAGTTGATACCTCAGGAAATTTTGCCATTAAATCCTCCAAAATGTGGTCATCTGTTCTTCTTCTTCTCCTTCCACTAACCTGCCTTCAAAGAGTACAAGATATCCATCACCAGTATCTTGTAGGATTTGTGACATGGTCTGCAGTGATACTTCAATAGAATTTAGCTGTGGATCCCCTTATATAGCCTGTCTTACCCCTAACTGATGCTATTTGATAGGAGTGAGTTCGGTTCAAACGGTTCAGTTTTCACCTAATTAAAACCGAATATCGAACCAAAGTAAAAAGTTTGGTTCGGTTCGGTTTTATGTTCAAAAATTTGGAACCACGGTTTGTTTGGTTAGATTTATTTCGGTTTGGTTTCGTTTTTTTCGGTTTTTACCAATTTTTTGTTGATTAGAAAATAGTAATTGGAAAACAAAAACAAAAAAATAAACTACATCAAACTATTATTATCAATAGTAATACAATTCAAAAACATACATAATTAAAAAGAGAGAACAAACAAATGCACTTCCAAACAGTTTTCATCATAATCTCCGTATCTAATTAATTTAACCCACGGCTGACAACTCCTTAGGCATTAGGGTTGGGTAGATAGCCGCCGTGAGTGGCGGTTCTCTTCCGTTTTTGGTTTCCGAGTGTTTACTCGGTATTGGAGATTGGTTGTTCGGATTTATTCGGCAAGGACTGTCTTTGTACGAAGGCTTTGTTTCCATTCTTGCACCAGTTCGTAAGTGTTGACTTACGATTATAGCACTCATACGAAGGCTTGGTTCCCAGCCTTTGTTGTGTTTCGTTTTTTGTTTCTGGTCTGTGAGCAGGGTTTTTGAGAAGGACGAATGGAGATTATCACTAACAAGACCAAGGACATGGCGATCCGAGACAAAGAGGATGAGATCGTTTTCAATGAAGAGACTGTTCAAGGAGAGGAGGCCGCGGCTGATGGAGAAGCTTTCTTGGTGGTAGGCACTGTGGTCACGGACAGATTGGTAAAATTTCCGGCCTTTAGAGATCTTATAGCAAAACTATGGAGGCATGTGAAAGTATTACCATAAAAGAGATTAGCGATAACAGGTACATGTTCACATTCTTGATATGAAACGTGTGATTGAAGGGGGTCCGTGGACCTTCGAGCAGAACCTGTTAATTCTTAGGGAGCTTAAGCCAGGGGATGTTCCCCTTAGGGTTCCTCTGAATGAGGCAGAATTTTGGGTCCAGGCGCATGATGTTCCATATGATTATATGAATTTGGATGCGGCCCGAAGAATTGGGAATTTTCTTGATACTTTTGTTAGTTTTGATAAAAGTCAATTTGACAAGAAATGGAGGCCTTATATGAGAGTTCGAGCTTGCCTAGATGTGGAGAAGCCTGAAGGTGGGCATGACTCTCCGTAGGGGACAAGGAGAGGGACACTGGGTTGGTTTCAAATATGAAAAACTGCCTAGCTTCTGCTTTGTTTGTGGTATTATTGGGCATGCTGACAGGTATTGTCCTTTGGCTTATGAGAATACCAATCTGAAGGTTCCAAAGAAATATGGAGCTAGTCTGCGAGCAGGAGGTGGGGGGACTTCTCAGTCTTTTGGGGGAAATAAATGGCTAGTTCCGGAAGGTCAATGTCGAAAAGAAAATGGAATCGCGGGGACAAGCAGAAGGGAGTGGAATCAGGTAGCAATGCACTTGAGGAGGGGGCTAATGGGGAAGCCAAGCGTAGGAGGACATGGGAAGTGGCTGGCGGCACGGGGGATGAAGGGGAGCAGATGGCCCTCGATGACCCAAAAAACGGGGAGGAGGCGGGTTCGGTTTTCGGAACCCGCCAGGATGTTTGAAGCTCTTTGCTGCTATGGGAGGACATTGGAGCTCGTTTGGGCTTCTTAGGATTCAGTTGACTTTCCACGGTTTTTCTGTCATTTTGCTGTTATTTTTTGCTTCACACTGTTTTGTTTTTGTTGTCATTGTTTTGTTTTGTCATACTCCTACATTAGGCTGGGGTGATGGGGGTTTTGCTCTGGCCACGATAGGCTCATCTAGACCCGTTATAGGATTAGCGAATCACATTGCTCTGTCTAGGGTGATTGGTTCTCAGGCTGGTCCGAGAGTCGGTGGCTGGAAGTGCTTCCTTTGTCTCTTTTATCCCTTGCTGAATGTTTCATTATCAATATAAGCCGCCCTTTTCCAAAAAAAAAAAAAAACAAATGCACTTCCAAACAATGAATTTGAGAGTATGTATGATTATATCAATTTAAGCATTTTCTAAATTAATAAAAAACATGAGTTTATTTGGGAATTATATACAGTGTATTCGCAAGTTAAAATTTTATTAGTAAATAATTTATTATACTTTCTTTTTAGACAAAGATATTTATGCTCTAAAGTTTCACGTTTACCGCTATGTTGTTTAAAGTATAGTTTATATTAATACATATATGTTTAATATAATAATTATGTGATAACAAACATACATAACATATAATATCAACGAAATATCATTGTCATGCAACAACAAGCAAAATGTAAATTACGATTTAAAAAAATATCAACATATTAAGATCATAGCAATAGACTTAAGTGTATGTACAAGTGTTTCCCTTAATTAAACCGTAAATATTAAATGTCAATATCTTGCAAATCATAATAAATCTAGTATCATAAATTTAATTTTCTAGAATTAAGAATTAAAAACTCAAAAAAATATTATACTTGATGATTAATAAATAAAATAACAAGTTTTAAAAAGTTCGGTTTATTTGGTTCGGTTCGGTTTTGAGATGTGATAACCAAAACTGAAACCAAACAAATATGGTCCGGTTCGGTTTCTTGAGTTCGGTTTCAGTTTCCTTGCGGTTCGGTTGTTTTGGTTGTGGTTCGGGTTTTTTCGATTCGGTTTTCGGTTTTCGGTTTCTCCGACCCACCCCTACTATTTCCAAACAAATGCGGTTCGGTTGTTTTGGTTGCTTTGCTTCTGAAAGTTGACTTCTACATCCCCCAAACTAGTCAACCATTCCATGCCAAGAACCAAGCCAGTTCCCCTCAATTCCAGTATATTAAATTTCTCTTGCATAATACTTCCCTTCAAACTTAGAATTAATCCCTCACATCTGCCATTATTGGTTATCTTATCTCCATTTCCAATCTGCACTTTGTATCTTATCTAAGTATTGAGACAATCTCATTCTATTTGCCTCTAAAAGGTGCTATTTAGAGGGACACTTTTATGGTTGTCTCTAAAAAAAATGCTATTTAGAGGCGCACTTTTAGGGTTGTCTCTAAAAGAAGCTATTTAGAGGCACACTTTTATGGTTGCTTCTAAAAGGTGCTATTTAGAGACACAATACATTTTTATGGTTGCTTCTAAAAGATGTTATTTGGAGGCTCACTTTTGTGGTTGTCTCTACAAGATTCTATTTGGAGACACACTTTTATGATTGTGTCTAAAAGTTAATTACATTAAGAGTATTAAAATTGCTTGTAAAGCATATGCTCATAAATGTAAACTCTTTAATAAAGGCAAAAATTATACCAAATACTCCTTCCGTCCTCTTTTAATGTCCCGTTTTACCATATTGGGATGTGCCTATTTAATTATTTCATACCTTATTTAGTAAAGTTTGTGTGACTCAAAATCATTCTTACTTTATTCTTACTTTATTAATTAATATCAACCGTACCACACAAACACAAACCTACTTTTCTTAAAACTCGTGCCACCCTTTTCCGTCCCAATATAAAATGGACGGAGATAGTAATATTTAACACGATTTGGATTGCATTATAAGAAAAAGCGTTTTTGCTACAAACAATTTGCGGCACTTGTAAAATACGATCGCAATAGATTGCAATACTGGATTGTTGTAGATCTAGCGACAGTCTTAATTGCCTTATTCTTGCAGATCTAGCCACTTCCATCTCTTTTGACTTTGAACACCCATTTTAATATGATGATTTCGTGTTAGTTGGTCTTGGGACTAGCTTCCACATATGATTCTTTTCAATAGAGTTAATCTCTTCTTCCATTACTTTTACCCACTTCGGATGATTAAACTTAAATAGACCAGACTAGACCAGATCAGACCACACTTCCATAGTTATAAAACACACAAAGATCAAACACTTACCAGACCAGACCAGACCAGACCAGACCATTTCAGAACATACCAGACTTAAATAGGCTAGCAAATTTCAGTCCAAGAAAAAACATCCTAAGATTCCTAACTTTATATATTTTGATTATTACTCAATTCAGCGTGAAGTAAAAAGTTTGACTAATAAGATTGGAACACTATTGCCCTCAAGTTATTGGGCCGTAATCAGAACTTTTCTCCGAGACTGTTGCCCGCACGCCCATCTGCCACAATTCCACCACCATTATATTGCCGGAGTAAGCCTCTAGACTCTGGAGTTTGTCTCCACCACCGCTAAACCGCCGCTGCCACTAAACTGGCATGCCATCACTGAACTGACCTTGATTATGAAAGTATACTAGGGGGTAATTAACTATATGTAGTATTAATTAGAGAAAATCCCTAAATAGGACTAACATAATGTTAAACTTCGTAAATACTAACTAAATAGGACTATCATTGCTTTATTCAGAAATAGGACACATTCACTCCTATTTTGGTAAGTTTTAATCAACTTATTCTATTATTAGGACTAAATGAGTCTTATTTGGAGAATAAAATACAGGGGAAATTCCATTAATAGGACTAAAATAAGGATATACGAGTATAATGTTTCAAAATAGGACTATCATTATTTTATTCCCAAAATAGGATTTACTCACTCTTATTTTGGAAAGTTTTAGTAAACTTATTCGTATAATAAGACTAAATAAGTCCAATTCAATTTAGGGAATAAAATATACCTAATCCAAGGAAGTAGTAGAGTTCCCATTGGGGAGCTTAACAGTAGTAATGAATTTTTTTGCCACATTCTTCCCAACAATTGAATGGAAATATTTAGTCCCACGGTCACTAAGGAAAAGATGATTGGCTTTAGCCTTTTGTCTAAAGAAGTCTTCCTCGGCTCTTTTGAAATAAAGAGCACTCTTTTTAGCCAAAGCAAGATCATGCTTGATAGTATTATCAAGAGGAGAGAGTAAGAGAAGAGCATGCACTCTTTTGTACTTTCTTTGCCTCTTTAGCCCTTTCGGAAATATGACTAAAAGCATTGAAATTAAGCGCTTTAAGGGGCTGTTTAAGCCTTTTAAGCTTACGAGCAAGTCTAAATTGAGGGGTGACGTGCACTTTGTCGTGAGGTGCACTCAAAATAAATACAATACAACTAATATACGTAGTATATTGAAGTAAGGTTCGTATCCGCAGGGAAAGGAATACTTCTCTTTTTTATAAACTAGTAAATATAAAGGGGGGGGGGGGTTTGATTGAATGATTTAATTAAAATTGAACACGAAGATGAACGAGTTATGTGGTTTAATTAATGAGAAGAAGGCTTGGCTTTGCTTTTATCCACTTAATGAAATGTTCGTCGATCCCGGTTATATCTTTAACTATCTTCCTCTCGAATACTCAATCGAGGAGTATATCCAGTTCATCGAGGGTAGTTATTAATAACGAGATGCGTTCATTAATAAAACTTACTATCGAGTCAATATAGGACAAGCGCCGTATATTAAATTGATAGTAGCAATAAACTTAAGATGAAAACGATTGAGATTGATAACCTCAACACAAGCGGTTTATTGGTTTAATCAATATAAATAATTCCCCTTAGATTATTAACCATGAGAAGCATGCATTAGTAATCCAAGTTTACTACCATTGAAAGAACCGAATTAATAACAAGCGTATTAACCGATTGATTCTAGTAATAATTAATATATAGAACAAGACTAGTTGATACTTTAAGTAATGCTCAATATATTAATATGGGATATGAATAGGAAGTAATTAATATTCAAGGAAGAAGATTAAAGAAAATAACTCACAACTTACAAATCATTAAGCTTCAAAGTAGCAAAACCAAGATGGAAGAGTTTAGCTCCTCATTTGGAGACTAAACATCATAAAAATATAAAGAAAGAACTTGTCTAAACTGAGCTTAGAAGTATATAGGAATTGGTGATTTTATTGTGAAGGAAAGGGGTGTATTTATAGGCTTTTGGGAGCTGCAGGGTCTGATACCCGATCGGGTATATAGGATACCCGATCGGGTATCTTAGGAAATTGCCCAGAAAGTCACTTTTTTGGGCATACCCGATCGGGTATGTCGGCATACCTGATCGGGTATGTGACAAATCTTCACAAAAATTTGCTCCCACGATCATTTGTTCCCGGATTTGATTTGGACAATCGAATCAAGTGAATACCCGATCGGGTATAGGCAATACCCGACCGGGTACATGAGTATTTTTTCCAAATCGAAATCTTTCTTGTCTCCTTGAACTTTCCTTGATCTTTTAAGGTCCAATCTTGATCCCTTCGATGATCTTTGACCTGTTTAGCTCAAAATAATCCTAATCTAAACAAATTACAAATAAAAATGAAAATAAAATATTACACCAAAAGTGTGTAATTTCCACAACTACAACTAATAAAAACTAGTTAAAAATACAAACATACAATCGGAAATTACACGAATATCAAGGGGTACCAAACATATCAAGGTACCAATGATTGGAAAGGATATTGGTAAAAGCCTCATGCTTAAGCCACATATTATAAAATTTAAACGGTCTAGACCCACCAAGATTATTGTTACTAGAGAGCCACAATGGTCAAAGTCAACTTCCATCTCAAAAAAGTGAGTATTGCAGGATATACCATTAGTACTCCAAGAGGGGTTCATGAGCACCCTATCAAGTTTGGCCCAAAGAGAGCCTCTATTCCAAGTAAGGAATTCCCTTGTAGAGGGAGTATCAACAAGGTTGGCTTGAAGCGTAAAGTCATTAAGGTGCTGGATGTGGTAGGCCGGGGGGGGGGGGGGGGGGTCCAATCCGCTCATCGGGACTCCCCACACAATTGAAGTTACCCATAACAAGCCAAGGGCCATTAATGTTCGTTTTCCCAAAGGTCTCTTCTTTCCACCACCGTGTACAGAGCATAGATAAAAGTCACAAAGAAGGTGATTTTGGTAATCCTACATTGAATCTCACAATGTAGGTGTTGTTTGTCAATTTCCAATACATTAAGATTAACAAAAGAGGGGTCCCAAAGGAGAGCAATCCTCGCCCCCCCCCCCAATTTTGTCAAAATTGGTCGA